GAGGGTCCTATCTCTGGGCCCTCTGATAGATAACGGGTCCTTCACGAAACACACGACTTCCTGTTTGGTGACAGTGGACATGATATCGAAAGGAAGAGCGCACGTGCTCCCGGTGGTGCTGCTGCTTACACGGGAGAGGGGGGGGGGGTTGATCCTTCATGGAGGCCTAGATGATATTTAAAGCCAAGGGGCGGCCGGAGTAGGAAGAGGGAAAAACAATAAACATGTAATGTTCGACTAATAAATGTGAATTTTACATTGTAATAAAAGTGATGAGACAACGATGTCAGCCAATGTGCTATACAGTTAAGTCACTAGATACGAAATACAGTCCTAGAAGGCTTCGTTTGGCAACACTCATTTTCGTTTGTGTTGAATGGGAATTAGGTGTCGCTTTGCAGCTCTCGCATTGACGAAAAAATACTTATATAAAATAGCTATAATTATAATAGAGACGCACAATACTTGCCACTTACATTAATGTGGAGGTCACCTCAATTAATCTGTGATGTTTCCGATGCCGATGAGTATAAATATTAACCTCATTTTAATGGATCACAACATTCTTTTTAACTAACATGTTGTAACACCGGGTGACAGTGTCCCCGATCGGGTTTCCTCCTTTTATTGACTTTTAGGTTCCTCCTTATATTGACTTTTAGGTATTCAAGCTAGTTCGGGCAGCCGTAAAAATTGTTCTCTCATCTTGTCCATCGTGCGTATACGATTGTGGTATTCCGATATGAAATTCTTGCTTTGCTCTTTAAGCGTGTCGTCATTGATTTCCCTTCATCAACAAAATTATATTTCCTATTTTTTTAAATCGACAGCAAAAGTAATTTATGAGATAACAAAAAATTGCAGCAGAGTGAAGATAAAATAACGTCATATAACAATTCGGTAGAGCACTTTCTTAGATATGAGTGTTGAACAGCGACGAATATAAGTAAGATGAACGTAAGAGATAAACGTTGTATCTGTTATCCTTCATTATTGCTTATCTTCATTTCGCTTGCTAATTTCGCAGCGTATAGACGATTATTCACTCTCTCGATTCACGAACTACCCAAACCTCCGTTCTACTGGTTCCTCTTTAACTCTCTGATCGTTGTCTTCATTGTTGCTCACTTGTTTCCAGTGAAGCCAGCAAATCCTAACAATTTAGGGTTAAAAATGTGATTAAAAGGCAGTTTTATTGATACTTACCACAAATAAAACAGATACGGGACTCTGCGCCACACGAACCCCTATCAGTAACACTGAAAGTTGATCCATGTAATAGGCACCTTAAAGTGAAGATACGACCTGGAGGTTTCTCTTCGGCTAACCGATTTTCTGTGATGGAAATCTTTACAATACGTTGTGATGCTAGCTGACTTCAAAATTTATCTCTGTAAGTAATCACTAACGACGGGCTCACGTGTGAAGCCTTTTATGTCCTATGTATGAAAACGTTATGTCCTTATACATATCTGCACAAATTGCAGTCCTTTGCAGAGGAACGAATTCATTTGTAGAAATATTAAATTCAACATGAACATCTTATTCGAGTGATCGATCGACTGCTTATAACTTTTGCCTTCACAACCGTCTTTTTTAAACAAACCAACACTAACTGAGTTGAATGTACGCCTCTGAGGCGGATGCGAGCAGCGAATCAGATTGTAGTAGGTTTTATGACAGGCGAAAATTTCTGTGCTTACATCAGAATTTGCAAACGGATCATTGTAAAAAAAAAAAAGTCCCGTTCAAGATTAGGAAACGAACATGATCGCTCTTGTTGAGTGAGTTCCACCTGAACATTTATCTTGAGAGCAACAGCATCGACTATTTCTAACAAATTTATTTCCCTTCGCGTTACTTTCCTAGTGATTAATCAGATATTTAAGAATTTACTCGGCCTATCCTCAAGTGATTACAACTGGCACGAACGCCATTTTAGACGCGGAACAATATACAGCTGGGCGCGATGACTTGATTAGATTTAGAAATTTCTGCTTACCGCTTCTTGGGTTACTACTGAACCCGTTGACTAGCCGTCAGCGACCTTTTACACCCGCAAAGAAAAAGAGACGACTGTTGGAGCACAAACGAGCGACTAAATAAGAACTCGTGCCGAGAGGCTCCGTTGTCGAGTGGTTATAGTGAGGCACCACGGACTAGTTGGTTGCTTTCATTGCCACGCAGATTGGAAATCGACATGATCGAATATTGAGAAAGCAATCTGTCCCGTAACTTCTCATCGTTCTCAATAAGCCGCTACACCCTGGCCCCCTTCATCATGCTCCTTGCCCCCTCAATTAAGTCAAGAGATTTCAATGAGCAACAAATACGAAGAGGAGGAAATTTGCAAGAGGCTAAGCAGATGATAATAGACAAAGAAGCATCGAGAGACGCAGTGTCGAACAGAAATATTGTAACCAGAAAGACCCCAATGTAGAATGGAGGATGGGGCCCAATCTGGGGTCATTTTGACAGAAAACGTTTGAAAAATGGTGAAAACTCATCGCTGACAATGTCTTCCTTAAACAATTAAACGGCAAAAAGCATAATCACCCAAACGCCAGCCCAACTTATTTTTCTGCTCCTTCCATGGCTCTCGTTCAGATCTGACCCGCCCCATCTTTAATTTGGGGTTTTCAATTTTTAAAAGCCTCATTCCATTCCCCTTCACTTCCTCTGCCACTCGTTAGCTACTCGACCTCTTCCCTATCCACCACGCCAGTCTCTTTCTCCTCCTCTGTTGTCTAAGTCGTCTGACCATTAAAATCGAGGTACCTGTCGACGGCCTCGTGACCGCGAATGAACACTTCCCACACTCACTGCTGGTGCTAGTGATTATCGCTGTTGTTGTCGTGATCGTTGTTTTCACTGCTATTCGTTCGGCCACCGAACTTCGACAGCGATAAGGCGATATTATCGGCGTGATCGCCGTTATCGGCTCTAGTAATACAATACTATCGAACCAATATCTGAGGTAGTAACGGAACGACACGGCACAGACCCAGCGATCATTGGACTGTTGTCGTCCGCGCGCGAATCACACTACCGCACCAAACCCGACCCAGATGAAAAGCGGACCCACGACGACATTCAGCTCGATCCTGAGATCCTGGCACTTGCGGCGCAGGCTGAAACCCCTTCGATGGCTGGCGGGCGGGCCTGTTGTCATCGGCATAATTTCGAAAAATTTGCGAGCCATGAAAAGAAAATAGTTTTATTGCTAACTATGGGAAAATTGATTGAAAGATTTGCTTATAAACAAAGGCAGAATCGAATGGGTCGTTTGCATACTATGAAGCTGGAAACTGATCATTCAGCTTTTACTGCTGTCACATACAAAGGTATGGACACCTGCATACATTGAATCTATAGAGGCAATTGTTTCGGTGTTTCCCCAAGCGCCATGCATCGAATAAGGGGTAACAAGTTTTTATTAAGAAATATAAAGGTAAGCTAATATATAGTAGAATATTTATGTAATACTTAATTTTTCACAGCTTCACTTTTCATGAACTCACAAATTCACAACGGCAGACCACTAAACAACTTCGTCAAATTGACGGATAGTTTTCCCCTCGGCAATATTTTTGATCAACCACAAAGCATGAGATTATCGCATTATGTATAACCCAGCCTGTGGTGAATGGTGTATGTACTCAGTTTTTGCGAAATTTAGCAAGCTATACGACGTTACAGGTAAATTTACAGGCAATTTACCTATAAGCTCGCATGTGTAAAAACCTTCGCAACTTTCGAAGACATATCGCTTGCTTTCGATTTTAAAGCACTCGACCCGACGTTGCTTCAATGAACTTTTTCATTTGTTTATGCATGAAATATTCCATAATATCCTCAAGTGGTTACAAAAGAGCATTTAATGGATCAATCCAATGGTACTTGAACAGTAGTAGACCGCACGCGATTAAGCAACACAATCATAAAAGCAACCAAAATTGGAATTCATAGAGCAAGTTAAAGATTGTGCCGAGTGAAATAATGTCGTTTTCCGCCGACGTTGCCTTGTTTAGCTCTGAAAACTATGTTTAGAATTTAACGAACAACCGAAACTGGCATTTAGAGCGAACTCGATCTACTAGATCGGCCAGTTGCCTAGGTCACAAATTGTATGTGAAGGCTCCTTGCGAGTCTGAAGCACTGTGTACTGATTTGTCTGCTCCCCTGAGACGTTCAGGTTCAGTGTCAATGTTGATACGGAGACACTGATAAGAGCACGCTTTTGAGTGAACTCTTCACAATACCTACGTTCGCTGCGCATTTCGAAAAGAAATAGTGTACGAAAGCCCAGATGTATTTCAGTGACCTTTTTTTTTTTGTATTTTTTTTTTTACATTATGCGGTTGACCTGGCTCTGTTTACCAGTGCTCAATCGTGCTTAGCTAATAACCGCGTAGATTATTCTACGTTATGTTTCGCTGCTCGTGAGTAACACTGGACAAACGAGCGGTGCTTTGAACTTTATAGAACCACTGTAACTAAAGAACGGGGCAAAAAATAACGTGATTAGACATGCATTGCGGGGGGCCCTCGATAAATACGAATCCGCTTCTGTCAGCATTAAGCAATCAACCAATGAAAAGTAGTGCTCGCCGTTATATTTGTTTCAACATATCTGATTCTCCGCTAGTCGAATAAGAGTACGCAAGTAAGGCATAAATGTGACGCTTACCGAATGGATCGGAACCGCTAATCATCCAGTGCCGATAGCGGCTAATGTTACGATGATAATAATACGGAGCTTTCAATATCTAGAAACGGAAACTTCTTGGAAGCTAGCCCGGTATAATTCAAACGTCACAGATTAGAGGAGGAATAAAATAATCTATAGGTATTACACTAAGAATTGACATTATACGGATCGAATAATTGTCATTATCTAGCTTTTGTTGTTAAAGTCGTTTTTATAAATACTAGATTTAGAAATAATTCAGTTAATTTTTTTTTTTTTTCGCCAATATTTAGTGTGCTTGCGAAACAACGTAGTATTGATCAGTTGTGTAATTTGAGTGGTCAGGAAGCAGTATTCTATCCGAACAGCGTTGCAGTCTCACGCGGAACATAGTCTGATTTTTCAGGTAAATAGAAAACAATATGTAATTATTTTTGTCTTTGGAAATATTTATTGACGAACTTAGGGCAGGAAAATCGAAAGCCTCTAAAACAATGATGAAAGTAGTTGTGCTGGACATTATTGTCGAGAAAACAGACTTCGTGGCCGTTTTTTTAGTATGAATCATTTCGTATGAGCCGAAGATCAGCTATTGTCTATAAGCAACTTTTTTTTTGTTTTTTCGCTTTACGGTCCTTGCAGTATGTGGACTAGGTAGCGCACGCAACAGAGTATAAAGTCATTGATCTTTGAAATAATTTAGAAATCATCTACGAATGCTAAAAAAAGATGATTCTGAAGTCCAGCCGCTATCAAACGTTGTACCCGTAGCGCCCCCAAACGGAGCTTCATGTACTTCTAAGCGGGGTTCACGTTACCACGAAAAGCCCCCCTACTATCGGTTAGTGAGTGACGCTCGCAGTGTGGTAACCACAGGAGCAGTTCATCGAGGATTTTCTTTGGAAAGAGTTTGAGTGAGATATTATTACCCTTCCAAGCGGACGCGTTTTTGCCGTTTCCTTTACAGAAACGGCTCCGTTTTTTGTGTCAAAGATCAAAACGAGGTGACACACCTGATTTTGATAAAGTATCTATTGAACCCATAGCACATGTTGGCATAACTCTAATACCTGTGTCCACACTTGGTGCACAATAGGTAAAATATTACTATAGTAGATTGAATCGCAATTAGGGTTTACGAGGTGTATTAATTCCCATACTTCAGATTCACCAATAGGTTAGCAAGGAGGAAAACAGATTGATGAATTAAGCGACATATAAATAGTGTTTGGAGCTTGTAAGCTAGACGCTAGTACATTGAAAGGTGCCAAACAAGTGCTATGTGGTGACATAATCGTCATGGACTTTTTACAACACTATGATTCCAATTTATTTTGTGTATTGCTATAAATATAGTCGTATGTATGTACGCATATGTAACACGCCTGTAGCTTTACCAGCCGTTAGCGGCAGCCGTAGCTACACCGCGGCATGTAGAGATGCTAAAAGTCTAAGAAAAAGAAGTTTAGCCAAAAAAGATATTCAGGCTTCTAATATTATATATACAGCATGGACGCAGGACCCGCCTTCAAGTAAGAAATATATGTACATACAATCACTTCTTTTGGTATTAGCCCTGTAGTTGGATTGCTAATCCCCAAAGGGTAAGTGTTGCAGGCCATCGTGGGAAGCTAGCACCGCCGATCGTCGCGTATGACAGTGTGACCGAGACGCAGAAGCGAGAGGGCAAGAGTGTCTCGCCGCGGCGCGTGAAATCACGTCGTCTCCATCTATTAAAACCATCAACAACTTGACGGTCGCACTGTAAAAAAACAGGCCCGAATCTCCATGATGTGAGTGCTGATACCATGTAAAAAAAATAGAACCTAAGTTCACACGAATTGCCTTTAGATCTGCTTGTACTCGGACACGGCAACGGCATGCGAGATATAAAGCCATACATTTACGCAGCGTGCAATATTTCGCGAAACGGAGTGAATATAAATCATTGATTATTCAACTGCTCCGAGGTAGCGGACAGCTTAAGAGCATATCGTACAGTTCTGCTAAGCTCGAAAGCAGTTACCTTAATAATCCTATTCACTCTTAAGCTATTACCATAACCTACGTAAGAAGTAGGACATTTCATTGCTATGAAGTGAGGTGTATTAGATAGATTGCCACTATTTATGGTATACACGAAAGCCTGGAGCTGCCCAAGAATGATTTTGTTGCCGACTGAACTATGACGACATTAAAAATTATTCACCACAATCTAGGTTTGTATTAGATGGCCGTAAGTGGGAAATACGCGGCGTCACAGATTCTGCTTGCCGACGGGTCTCATGATTCTATTCGTTATTACAGCGGCCGCTTAATCCCAGAAAGGGATCAGACGTAGTCAGCAGTGATAAACTCTCAACCATTCACTACTATACGAACGCTAGTTACCAGGCAGATCTGTAGAGTGTAGTGCGTTCAAAGGGAAAAGTAGAGAGAGAAAGCGAAGGCAGATCAGCAAACATATGTATGGAGTGTTATACACGGCAAATAGATATATTTGTTGGGGTTATAATAGCTTAATGGCGCTGTATGCTTCCTCTTCGTTTTGTTCTATAGGTCATCATTACCGTTTCAACCAATTCGAAACAAAGGTCTTATATCGATAGAGTACGACTCAATGTATCACATAGGCTTCACAAGCAAGCAAGACCTCCGAACTATGTTCGGGGATATTCGCTTTGTCTGCTTGGGAGGAACTGCCCATCGGATGGAAAAATTTGCCAGGTATATTGCACTTTTTCGTAGACTAACGGAGCTGTGACTTTTTTTTTTTTAGTAGGGGTCGTTTTCAGCAACGATAAGGACGTATGAAACGTTCTGTGAATTAAGAAAAATCACTAAATGGCACGCATCTGTCCTATTATTTTCGTTTGTTTCGTTTTATTTCGTTATTTTTACTTTTAAAGTTTCGAAGTATTTCGCTACGAAGTGAGCCAGCATTAACACCGAAGTCGTCTCGTTGCAGGCTGCTCGTTCGAGAGCTTCCTGTGAAACTTCCGACAGGTTGTGATCTTTCTGACCTTTCTGCACACTCTCACCGGTACTCCATGTTTAAGGCGGGTCCAGTACTTTGTGTTAATCACGGAATGGGGGCTCCTTCAGTTTCGATCTTACTTCACGAGCTCTTTAAGCTGCTTCATTACGCAGGCTGTCTTCAAGTGACCTTCATACGGATGGGCACCTGCGGAGGTTTAGGGGTCCCCCCGGGAACAATTGTTGTCAGCAAAGAAGTTATTAATGAATTTGGAGAGCCCAATCATACATTTGTAAGTGGCCAAGTCACTGTGGGAACAGTTTACCACTGTAATATTTGTATTAATTCATGTACATACCAGCTTTGTAGCGGCCGCATGCGGCTTGGGGTTCACTAGCAAATCCATAATGAACTATTGAGCCTCTGTGAAAAAGCTCTAAACCTTTAATCTCGCCCAAACGGGCATCTCAAAACATACCTGAAAACCCTGCAACCTTGCGTTAATTAAATCTCATAATCTCACAATCAGTTCATAGCTATTGGGCTTCTTTTGTCAATTTACCTAACTTAGGCAATGACCAAAGGCTTAATTTGATCAATGAGCACGTGTGTACTTAGTGCTCCGACCGAACAACCAAATAATGATGTTACATTAGATAGATTTATCTCCATATCAATATTATAGTAATTGTCAATATTTGCCACAGTCTATACTTGGGAAACGTGAGGATCGCCCGTGCTTCCTGTCGCAAGAGCTTGCTGAAGAAATAATTTCAGTGGGAAGAAGAAGCTACCCCTCTTTAAGTATAATTTCCGGTGAGAGTCATCGCAAACGTAATTTTTTATATGTGAATCAATTTATTTTATGAATTTATGCTGTGCAGTCAGTCCTTCAACGCTCAACAAAGGTATATTAAGAAGAAATCGGTCGCCATTTTTACGGTAGTAAAGACTATCCTTCTAAAAAACATGCTAAAAAACAGGCAAAACGATGTGCACTAACGATTTCTACGAAGGACAGGCCCGGCTTGATGGAGCTTTTTGCCCTTATACGATGGAGTGTAAAAAAGCCTACCTTAATGAATTGCACAACAAAAACGGGGTAACAAATATCGAAATGGAAAGTTCCCTCTTCTCAGCAATGTGTCATTATGCTAATGTGCCCGGTAAGTTTTCCTGAACGTTTCATTTCTATATGGCTTTTCAGACCACAGCTGTCTCGTTTACGGTTTTTACCAGTGTAATTTGTTTACATTTGTTCGTGTTAAGGTTTCCAAACCAGTATTTGTTGGGAATTCCAATGGCAGTCAATCCAATTTTTTTTTTTTTTCTATGGAACTAATAATTTTCGTTTCGTTCCCAAATATCGATCATTCGATCGAAATAACGTCTAATTTTACGTCTTTTTATCCCTTGATAGCGGCCATAGTGTGTGTGACTCTTGTCGAGAGGCTGAAAGAAGATCAGATCAGAGATGAAGGTACCGTCAGCCTTGCAGCAGCGCAAGAAATGCTTCAAAATGTTGTTCTTTCCTATATTAAGCATAAGCTTCAAGGGCAGACCTGAGGCAGCAATAAACGAACAGTTTTTCTTGACTTAATTACAATAAATATTAGGTTTTGCTTAGAATCACAAAGAGTTCTCTAGACTCAGCTATTAGTGGGTCATAATGATTGATTCTTAGACGACTGCTTAAAACCAGGTATTCTGAAAAGTATTTTTTGCTTAAAACCAGGTATTCTGAAAAGTATTTTTACGAAGGAAAGTTTAGGAGTGTAAGATTCCTACACTTGTATTTGTATTGTTTATTAAGTAGAGTATAATACAGTTTATAGACCCTTGTATAAATGCATCAGGGACAAGCAGCGCCTTGAGATAAGAGGAGGCAACAGAGCAATCTTTGAATCCAAAGATATTAAAACAAGGGATGTACAAACTGAGCCTCTAACTCAAGTTGTGCTATGATTAAGGAGCTTACGATAACTGTAAATGCATTCCAAATCCTTTTTACAGTTAAAAGAAAAAGGTGTTAGGTAATAAATGCCAGATCTTTTAACCTGATATTGAGTCATCGAAAGCTCTTGACAATTTTTCTAGTTAAATAGCGAAAGCTCTTGACAATTTTTCTAGTTAAATAGCTTTAAAGCCACATATTTTTTATAAGGAGTCGTGCCGAGGCGTTATCGGTATCATGAGATCTGACAATAGTCACTATGTCAAACATATCGGAATGCCGTTATTCCGACACGCGATGAAAGGCAAAAATGCTGCCTTTCTTCTGCCCAATTCTGCTACGATTAAGGCACAAATGCTGCTCAAAACCCATAAACAATGCGTGATATTCGATCTGATGGCGAAGGAAACGGGCAAGAAATTGGGATTTGTCGCTGTCGTTTTAGAAATTTAGGGCAAAAGACGCGCCTCGTAGTGGTCAAGTAGCTACAAAACAATCGACGAAACCATAGCGACCGACACATGAATAGCCATGACATGTCAAGGAACTAAACGTCCAATACCAAGTACTTCTAAATCCTTTGAAGAAAACTAATTACGCCATCAAAATTGACGCGGAAGACTACTCGATCGTATTTCCAGCTGCGAAGGTCTAGAAACGCAACGAAATTGAGTCGATTCTAAAACGATCGATCGTGCTATTGAAATAAAAATGCAAATGTATTAAATAAAACTACTTCACAATCTGTGTCACTGACGCAAAAAAATGTGATGCTATGTGTTTAATGAGATTGGGAGAAAATCATTATTTTTTAGCTCCTAGCAAAATGATCCATACGGATCCCTACTGTCTACAACAACTAGCTAAATTACCATAAGCCATCTTCCACAATGACAAAGCTAGACATATACATAGTTGGCTACCCGATCGTTGATTAAAACGGTGCATATTTAGCTCAGTAATCTTATTTACTCCTTTAATTTATAAAGGAGATTTGCTTAAAGCTTGTTTTTAAAAAAGCTGTTATTTATTTAAGAGAGATTTTTTTAGTAGCTGCTGCACCTTCATGAAAAACCTGCAATCACACACAGGCTCACGTTATTTTTGTGCTCAAATCAAATTCAGAAAATAATGCACGCATGGTTATGATATCTAGTGGTACTAGCGATAAGCAGACTGCGAGTTTTCGATTGCCGTGCCATCCATCGGTTCGCGTAGGTCCATGAGTCACACATAGAACACGAGCATTTCTACCTGGAAAACTGGTCGATTCGTTTGTTCGATTTGTTGTATATATAACTATTTTCCAAAGTGAATCCACGACTATGTATTTGCCATAGTGAATCCACGGGAGATTTATTGTTCACTGAGTTTTCCAATCCTAGATACTTGGGCGTTGATTCGGTAACACGTTACATTGAAATGGCAGCTTTGGCCAAGAGAGCCGTTAACATCCAAGCTGTACATTCGTGATAAGCCTTTGTGATTGTGGCAATGCATCATTGCCCTTAAGATCATGACTTCTGCAGACCTGCTGGCTGATCTTCGGGCGTCCTTACTAATGTCTTCATTGATCTTCAATGAATTTGCGTATCGCTGTGGCTTTCAAAGGACAAAAACTTCGTACTTCGGGTCGATTTTCAAGTGTTAAAGATATTTTCCTTTTGAACACATTTTTCCCGGAGTAAACTCAACCAGTTTTCATTCGCAAGTTTCTAGAAAATTGAGGTGCCTACCACCCCAGTTTCGGCGTGTGGTTCCAAGGTTATTCATTGTTAAAGTTCGCCTTTTATGATAGCCTGGTAAATGGGTCGTTAATACAGTTTTACAATTCAGTTCTTATCGTCGAACCTCTTTGCATGACCACGAAGCACAAAAATAAGTGAGCAAAACCTATGTATGACTGCTTGTGGCAAACGCTTTAATAAAAGGTTCGGTTTTCATTAATAAAGATATAATACGTGCAAACAGTATATACATACGCTAGAGTAACATACTACTCGATGGAGAGCATCTAAGATGACGTTTCAAAATTACTATTGCAGAACTATTTCACTATTGTAAAACGTATAGAAGTCCATTACTCTGTCCAAATAAGGTAGAAGCCGCTGCTGGTAAAAGTCAGTAAAACGAGTTGCATTTGCCTATTAACTCAAACTCCAATAGCCCAGCTAATAGGGGGAATCCTAATTAGAGCTTTAAAGATTTCTTAGAAGTATCCCGCTTTATCTCAACAGTTTCCTCTGTCCTTTTGTGTTCGTTATTAATTAGTTACAAAATTACATCGTGACTAGCATTCTGTACCCTTTTAGAGTAATAACTAACTCTTTTTAATTTAATCCTCTAAACAAAGAACAGTATGATTTGTAGCGACTTCTTATCGACCACTGTCCGGTTTAATTGGCGGCAATTAATCACATACGTGGTATTGACTCCATAGGATTAATTCAATCATAAACCCGAAATTCTAATGTACAAAGCAGCCTATGAGTATACGCGCCATTTGTTCATAGCAGACAACATCGAAATTATTTTCAAATTCTTGTGTTTATTTTGGTCATGCAAGCAATAAAAGGTCAGTCCCTCTTTCAAAATCGACAGTGTCGATTTTCGGAGCCTCACCTCGTGCTTCATCCAAGACAGCTGCGATTCTTCAGGGCTAAATTGCTGTAGTGGGTTTTTCTATATTTGGTTAAATCGTGTAGTATAGGAGAGCAGTGTACAGTGTGTTAAACGAAAAGGTTGCAAAACGCTGACAGGTATTTTCAGTTACTGGTAGTGAATCGAATATGCTCTACTTTGCGCGGCTTGTCATTCGAAGTGGAATGGTTTCAACTGAGGTTTTTGACGGATTTAGCTTGTAGGGTTACGACCTCGGAGGAAGAGGAGCGTAATAATGAGTAAATAAGATAAACCATCAAATGCTTCGTGTCATTTGATTCACATGAAACCTCTCTGAAAAAATTCACTGAAAGTTTGACCGATTGCCGCTTTATAATTTTACGGTAGAAGCCGTTAGTGAAATGTCAAATGAGCGACCTATATTTTTTTGAATAACTCAACTGCCAACTTCCATGCCTCAAATGGACATTTAGTTTAAATCATGGCTGTAACTATATATACTGGTCGTTCAAAAGTTTAAAGCGGTGATGGTATTACTGCATCATTGGTATTTAATGACGGAAATGACTTCTTTTGTTATAATACAGTTGTAGATTGCTTAATGAAATCGTTGTTAGCAATCTTCATGATCGGACCAAACCTCCAGGGTTTCAAAGTGATGAGTCAAGCAAAGTTTTAAGCTTTATTTTGAAGCTTTATTTATTTTATTTTAGTTTTAAGCTGGCCGTGAAGCTAAGAAAGCTCGAATTAGATTGGTTTTGTTTGCTGAATGATAATTGCTGAACCGAAAAATGGTTTGGCTCTTGCAGCATTCCTTATGAATATTATTATTAATCATTATTTGCCGCTTTTTGGTGCGCCTAATCTGAGGGCTGCACATTTGTTTGTAAATTAGAAAACGTCTGTTACGATAAATAACTGTTCTCACTAAATGATAAGTCATGCTTTGCCTTACGGATGTATACGTCTTCATCATTGCAGATGGATGTTAACGCAGCAGTTCAACAAGCGCTGGCAGATAAACTGCTCGAAGCAGCAAAAATAGCGGAAGACGAAATTGATCGTGAAATTGAACGTCTCGAAAGGCTTGACGAGGACGATCTTGAAGGTAATAGCTGCACTAGTAAAACATTGGTATATTTATTTCGAATACGAATTTTTCATGCCTCGAGTATTTTCTCATTGGTGAGACTCGCAGTAATAGAATTAATCGAGTAATCGTATAACACGCGATGATAGCGGTTATCAATAATGATTTATACCCATACTATCGTGTCTCTACACAGGTATTCGTCAGCGGCGATTGGCTGAAATGAAAAAAGCTGAACAGCAGAAGAAAGAGTGGCTTCAGCTAGGACATGGCGAGTACAGCGACCTTGCCAACGAAAGTGAATTTTTTGACGCTTGTAAGAAATCTAAGAATGTCGTTGTACATTTCTATAGAGACGAAACAATGCGGTACGTAGTGAACCATCAAAAATAGCATTGGTGTTATCTACTAGATAACAACTAATAGCATCTATAAACATAAGAAATTGCTATTAGAAGGATTAGTATACCATTAACTACTGGGGGTTACGTGCAAACAAATATGCCCGAAATGAAAATTTGATAATTTAGTTAATAAACGCAATTTGCTAGATAAGTATATTAATCTTGTTAGCGCATAAAGGATTTTGTTATAACGATTTTCTTGAACATGTCTCTAATCTTATTGGATAAAAAGTCACCTCTTTACGATGCACATATATTTACAATACTACCATACACAATGATCTTTGTGGAGAATAGAGAAAAATAGAATTCTCAAGTTCTTAAGGTCACCTTTGCAGTCGGATGATTTTACGTGGAAGGCTGAAATGATAGTTCTCTTCTAACATAACTAACTTTGTCTGTCATGTTCGATCAACATTTTCCGGTCACATTAGATGTGGCATCGTGGACAAGCATTTGCGGCTACTTGCTGGTAAACATCCCGAAGCGAGGTTTCTTCGCATTGCAGTAGATAAAGCACCATTCCTTTGCACCCGCATGAAGATTCGTGTGCTGCCTACAATTGTGCTATTTAAGGATTTTAAGAGTTGTGACTATATTATAGGGTTTGATGATCTTGGTGGGCGTGACGAGTTCTCAACAGAGATGATGGAATGGCGAATCGCACAGAAGGGTACGTTGTTTCGAGTTAGCTAATTTATTGAGAATAGTTGGATAACATTTATAAGCTAAATGAAAAATTATTCGATTTTTTTAAAAATACGAGGACCATTTCTCTTGCAGTGAAACTCCCTTGCCTTCGCAATACTTACGTCGTGCTTTCATTTTCAGCTGTTATCAATTACGCTGGAGATTTATCTTGTCCACCTGATGAAAAGCCTATAGAAAAGAGAAAACCAATTTTAGGCGGGATCATTCGGAAGAATATTCGAGGAAGAATTAGGAACGACTCTGATGACGAAGATACTGAACATTGAATAAAAATATAATGGGCAAGAGAAGGTTAGGAAATAAGTGATTTTATAGCGAAAAATCTTCGCTTGCAGATTTTTACGCCAGGTTGTTAAAGCGGTGATGCAATAATAAAATCAGCGCTATATTTAACAAAAAGTATGTTTCGTAAAATGCTACGTACTAAGCATATATCTTACTCAAATATGCTGACGAGTGTAATATATGCATAATACTAATAATAAATTCAACTAGTTTGAGAACTCAGATCTACTTGGTTCTTTTGTACTTCTTGATTAAGGATTAGCCGTGCTTAACTGGGTGCCTAGAGCCTAGACCTCGTGTTTTAAATTTGACGAATTTAATTGAACGAATTTTAATGCGTCGAGTACGTCATACAGGCTTATTTCAAATGACCTAGGAAATCCTATTTATGATCATTCTCATGATAGAGCCCATTTTTGCGTGATTTTATATTTTCTTAAAAATTAGTTATTCTGCAAATAGGACATATAAATCTTATATAAACGAATACTAAATCCCAACTATTATGCAGCACCATATTTCAGCTCGTCCTTGTTTTGCTAGTTTAACTAGGTATTATCGATAATGACAATTAATGTCGATCAAAAAGTCTTTTCTACCTAAATCGTGTGGCACATTTGTTTTTTGTATAAAGCCTCTGAGTTTATTTATCCTGTCGTTCATCCTATCGTAATTATTATCATCATGTGCATCACTTACATTGTACAGCATTGACGCTCACTCTGTTATTTTGTATATGTCCAAACAACTGCGATTCAGCGCTTGGCATTTTTCTTCGTATTCTTGACTTAATCCCAATTTCGCGTCACGATTCTTCGGTAGATTCAGCCTTTAAAAGGCCCATCTATAATAGGTCCTATTTAGTGAAGCTCTTTCCCGCTCCTACTGTTGCTTTCAATACTTCTTCGCGTCACTCTGTATTCAAGCAACAGATGCATCACATATCGATTTTCTTCCTTTCTTTAGTCTTCATAGCCTCTGTTTATTCGTTTTCGTAATATTTATATTTACTGCTTTTCTCAACTTGTTTTCTTCACTTGAGCATACACAGTCCATTCAGCCAGCCATGCTGGTTCACTATAGCCGGACAAAAACATCAGGCCTGACCTTTCATTCCAGGTCTTTGGCACTATACAACTTCAAGCACTCAAGTACTCAATTGTGGCAATAATAATAATAATAACGATAGCAATATTCGTACTAATAGTGATCCACTGATGAATTATGAATGTCCCGTTGTATCTTGGGCATTAGAAGAAAGAGAAGGCGCATAAATACTATAGAAAACAACAGTTACAACATTGACTAAGTGTCAAATCATATTTTAATTATGATAATATCATAAAAGGACAGCCTAAAGGAATAAGATTAATGTAATCAACACTCGTAAATCAAGAACAACTCTTGTACAGGTGAACCTATTTCATACTAGTGTTGACTGCAGTTAAGGTTTTTCCTTGTCCAATGTATGTGACTGACGTATGTCGTTCATTCGGATAGATGAATAGCACTCAATGAACTTATTAACTGCTACTTCGTATATATCTATACATGGTAGGCCAGAAGTAGGTTTCCAATTAAAAAAAAGCTGTTTTCTAGTTTCGTCAGATAACGCTTCAATTGTAACCCCACTTTTGTTTTACCTTGTATATATATATATATATATTGGGTTGTTGTATTTTATAGATTTTTATATTTATGGCTCATGGATTAGCAAGATTAAATCCATCGATATCATTAACAGCATTTGAAATTTTCATATCGATATTGTTTTGCCGTGGAGTTCAAATATAATATGTATATATTTTGTATATATATATATATATATATATATATATATATGTATGTATATGTATATGTATATAAATAACAATTGAGGGAAATGGGTGCCAAAAACCAAACGAAAACGGTGCAGAGCATCAACATAAGTAGCAGAGAGAGTCTAAAAATATTCAATAGCACATATGATCTTTTCTTCAAATGGTACTTCTTTACCGAAATTTCATTTGTTTTTCTGGTAGTTTTCTGCCATTATCTCTGTGCCGGTGGGTGCCTATTTAAGAACAATGAGCTTGTAATAGCAATGTATTAATATTGTTATTAGCGACTTCCTGCTCATTACATGTTGACTTTCAGTGTGATCATTATTGTTATTATTAGTGTTATCCTGGAAGAACGGAAATATTTAGGGCGCCTGTTTGTTATCGATACATAATAATATACTCTATATAAAGATTTGCTTGGCAATTTGTTTTGGAATAGATTATGTAAAGGCACGCAATCAACTGGAAGAAGCTGGTAGCTGTCTTAGTCCCCAGCGGCGCCAATTGGTTAATATGTGCATTGATTAACTCGTTGAACAAACGATTATATCATCGCTTTCATATGCATGTATATAAAGCCGATTCATTAATTATAATAATTACTTAATTTAATGTTTGTTTGATTCGCTCCAAAATTATTTGCTTCTGCTTTGCTTGGGAAGGATGCTAGCATTTTTTCAATGCCAGTAACAGTTGTAACCGACATCAAAAATCAGCACATGGTCACCTAAAGGCAGTAACTGCGCTCGTGTAAAACGAATGTTCCTTTGACCCTATTGGTGTAGACGTTTTGATGTTACCAATAACTAAAAAGGGAATCAGAATGGAATAAAAATGGAATGAGTAGAAAATTATCTTCTGTTTATAATTCGGCGGCATCATTTTTGGCGTTTGTTGTTATTGTTGTTATCGCCAATTGTCAACTACCTCATTTTTCTACTTTTTATTTACTTTCTACACGTTTGTATCTTAATAATATTAATCACATCGCATTGTCCACTTTGCAGATGACATCTATATTCGATTATGACATATGCTGCCAAATTTCTTCACTGCATGCATATGCTTCTATTAACAGAATGACGAGGTTCAATAATATGGATATACTAAAAATATCATGTTGCGAATTTGCAACAGTTCTCCAATACGAAATTATCCTCGTCTAGTCCATAATACTGCGTAGAATCGAGAGCATCAACAGAAATGCAGATCATTAAAAATGGCGCGCACCAGAGCAGACGAAATAATTTCGACGCTAGTTGGAAGCTTGTGGACGTCTTAACTTACGCGTCTATTTAATGCGCAGAATACAGTGATTCAACGTAGGCGCACATGAAAGGTGTTAGATCCTTCACTGGGAGCAAAAATCATCTTGACTTCAGTTTTAACGTTTGATAGTACATTCCATTTCTATGCTAATTATTTTGCTTCCCTTATTGTTTTTAGTTTACTCACTTCGTTATACATGCAGACACACACAGCTTCAATCGAAAGGTTGGAATGCCAGTGCAATGCTTTTGTATAGATACGTATTTGTTTTAAATATATGAGGACGTAATTTTTAAATGTACGGCTAGGCTAGTGTGATTATGAAGTTGCTTTTTGCAATAATAACAATAACCATTAATGAATTAGTCATCAAATCCAATGTAATTCGTCGTCACATGGTGAAAAGCATTTGTTTCCTGATTTATCCCATCGCTGATTGGTGATATTCGAATGATGTCAGTAATCATAACGATAATAATATAACCATTGTAAAAAATGTCCGCTTACTTCTCTCCTGCTCAAGGACAACGTACAAAAATAAACGACGATACCGCCTCTGCTATTACACACCTAAATATATTACAGGATTGTATTTTTTCTCCGCATTTATATTCGCCTGTCGGCATGGGGCCAAATTTTACCGTTCAAGTCTTTGCCGACGTTCTGCCTTTGTCGCATATTTTGACGATTCACATTTTGTCTACACTTACGCGATCACTTTGCATTGAGTCTGCGTTCACTCTTTCCCGAAATCCTAAAGCGATGCGCGATTTCGAATCCGACCTTTACATCCAGTATCATTCAGATTATGAACAGTACAATAATGGAATTGTATTATGTACGTATCGAATGTTCCGCACGTCTTTCTATATCCATACATGCGTGTTTCTTCGTCAACACGATGATTCACCGGGACTGAAAATATCGCTGACTTCTACAATGCTAACGTGCGTAACCTGTCTTGTATGCATTAATATGCTACCTTTAGATCTTCTTCCGTCATAGCGTGCACGTAGATCAGTCATTCACTCGTAACGATCGACTCACAGCATCAACATCCTCCGCCACGTATCGTTTAGTGGCAAGAACAATTTGCAAGTTCTCCCCGCCACATGTTACTACTATCACCTGCTTACAGCTGTGTTGCATGCCTGTGTACCAAGCACCCTATTGACAATTGGAATAGGTTGATTTGAGCCACAGGAACCAAATTTTCTTGACATTGTCTTATTCTATCGTAGTCATTGAGGATAATTATGCTTTGTTTTTTCTTCAGGGGGGAAGGGTCCGCAAACGTTATGAAATGGTCATAACTGATACGTCTGAGCAAAGCCAAAAAAAGCTCTGTCAGTTCATCGATTGCTTTTTATTACCATGGGCACACATATTCACGACGTCGTAAAAATCAATATAATATTGATTCATAAAACGAATCAGAATGGTGCTGTTTCATTCGAAAATGAAGCCAACTTGCCATGAAGCTACTATGTTTTCGTCACCCCAATGCATTTTGTGCCATCATCACTACAATCAACAAAATTACGCGCATACTGCTTCTACGGCCATTTACAATCTGATCGTATTTGATCTCATCACTTACTTCTGATTGTTGTTATTATATGGGCCGATCAATATGCTACTGTGGCGTACATCTGCAATATTTCACCGTAACCAGTTATTTAGGGAGAGACCTTAATTGAGTGACGTATCCGCGTTTTCAGTGGCACTTTTTTTTCTCTACCTTCACGTATCTCTCTCTCTCTCTCTATGTGTCTGTTTGTCTGTCTCTGTCTCTCCGTAGTTCAATATTCCTGTCTTGTTAACTTACAACCTATCTATTTATTCGCATATCGATCGAACTATCGATTGATCGATTATAGTTGAAGTTCCTTCGCCCAAAGGCCTGTGTGGACTCCCGTAGAGTGACCTAATCTAGGCTTCATTTGCATCTCTTGGACCTCCTCTAGAGTCGTATTATTATTATTACAATAGTACATCAGCAATAGCATACCCCGTTCATTATTCTATGTGTCTGTCCGTCCCTTTGTGTGTCTGTCGGTGTGCAGGTATTGGCAACGTTCGGGGATTCGACACGGCCTTGCGGATGTGAAGACTTTCATTCTCTAGTGAATATTAATGTTCGTCATGGCATTAGAAAATCATGGGGGTTTGCATTATTGATGGTCAGGCCTTCATCATGCCATCACAGCTGCAAGCGGGAAATAACGGCAAGGATTGATAATTAGTAATAATGATAATAATTACGATATTTTCCACCGTTGCGGTCTACAGGCATAGCAGATAGTCGCCCTGTCTTCTCCAGACACCTTCCTAAAACCAGGAAAGCAACAACAGCGGCAGCTGTACGATGGGAGCTGACGTAAGGCTGCTTACTCCTTGGCGCCCATGTTGGGTACGTAATCGCGAGCCATTAGACAGGCGAACACCGTCATGACCATTTTCGGCTTAACCTCGGCAATATCTTCTGGCAAAGCGTAAATTCGAGCTCCAGTCTTACGAGCAATCGAAATTGCATATTTAGCATTGCCTAGCCGTTCCTCCTCGTTGTCGCCAGGTTTTACCTAAAATGATACAACAATGCCTGCCGTCAGCTTAGAGAGAATAGCGGTATTAGATTTTGAAGGTCACCAACCTCAACTAAGCGCTGTGACCAAGCGTGCTATGAGCATTGCGTTCGCTACCAATGACAGCGGTGACAACCATTCATTTTTTATTTTCACATGCGTAAGAATAAACAGTTAAGACATAGAGCGTTCTAGATAAGGGAGCGATGTCTTTAGAAGCATGTACCTCGTTATACTTTTTGGAACTGCATATATAGTCGGCAGTTGCAGCACATTCGGTGTACACACTTACCTGTGAATAGTTAATTGCACCGGGTGTGATGGCGTCCACAAGATCGAGCACGGGCCGTGAAGTGGCGATAGCCTGATCCTGGAACGACCCGATTCGGCTTTCCTTTCCTGCTGCGGCCAGCTTTGCGTTGACCCATTCTACGATTTCTTTTTCAACTACTGGCTGTCCAGTACCTTTACATTTGGACAGCAGATTTAGAGTGTAGGCGCGCATCAGCTGCCAGACGACTGCTAGCGTCAGTGTTGCATTTCCATCGTTGATGTCCTGACCCGCAACGCCGACTAACGAGAACCGGAATTCTTTAACGGCCAATTCAACGGCATAATTGCAATTTTCTAGTTTCTCCATAAAGCCCTTGAGTTTGCTAAACGTACGATGCACGCGCTGCCAATTGACAACCCTCGGCCTGATGATGTCAAACAATTGGAAGATGATGAGACCATCCGCAAGGTCGGAATAGAGCCAATTGACGTACGGCGAGACGCCCATTGAGTTCATCCAGTTTCTGCACGTCTTTTCTTCGCGAGATTCCTCGATGTCATCGAGTTCGAGTGGACCCTCGGGCTTGTCTAGGGCCGGGTGGTTATTAAACAAGTTGGCGAGGAAGAGCATGTTCAATTTGTTATTTCCCTCGACAACGTCCTTGGGTGAAACGAACTGACGGCAGCCCAGTTTATCAGCTTGGTCAAGCATGATATCAGCTCTTTTCACTAAGTCAGGCTCAGTCATAGCGTGCACATGAACACCGGCAGTCTGTGGGGCGATCTGCTGCAACAGGTACGTGTAGATCTCGGAATCTTTGATGTCCGATGTGAAATTGGTCATCTTGCGGTTGCACTGGCTCTTGGCAAGGTGATGATTCACCCAACGCAGCAGGATGCTTTCCTGCGAAAGCTTATTGAGCTCTGCGATCTCTTCGCCGTCCTCAAGAAGAGCGACCAGGCCCGGGCACTGAACCAGTGATATGGTGCTGAATAAACCGATCTGGAAAAAGGGAAGGTGTAAATACACGCATATGCGGAGAACTCAGAAGAAAAAGCACACAACAATACGTCAACTTGTAACAACACGTCAATTACTAACTTGTTATGCTTTCAATTTCAATTCAACAACCGAAACGCTACACAAATAACGTGGATAAACATTGGAAAAAACGTCTTGTCGAACCAAATTGGGAGGAAAAATGGGATGACACAAGTTACATCATGGAATCACGTACCTTAATGATTTGCCATAGAAGGGCAAGTACAAGGTGCTTCACTCCTTTGCTGAGGTCGTGTGCGTCAATGTTGATGATATAGCATCCAATGGCCTGCGCGGAGTTGAGCGCTAACGTCAAGTTTTCATGCTTAGTATAAACGGAAAGGTTTTTCTTATTGATGGCCCTCTCGTCAATCGTGTCTGGGCATGATTTGTTGATCATTTTGCTGTTGCAAATCGAGAGTAAACAGTAAAAAGTGTCGCATAGAGAATGTTAAAATAAACCGCTACAAATGCAATTCTTATTTTGCATGATGACCAATGATCCAATGATGATTGAATTATGAGAGCAATTGAATGCTATGGCTGAGTGTATTGAATTCATGAAACTAGGGATGCTCGGTAGGTGCTTTTTCGCATATAGGACAGAATTAATGAAAGGGTATATATGAGGAACTGACCATAGCAAAATTCCATCCTTCATCTTTTCGTAGAGGGATCCATCTTGTTCATTGATAGGCAGAATCTTGACAAGGTCGGGATCTCCGCCCAGTTCCCGATTCATCCACGACGCGAAGGCAAACTCCTCTTCGAATCGTACCGAATGTGTCGTTCCTGACAATAAAGAATTGAACGTTTTATTGGTTATACTCTTTTCCCACACGTCATCTTTCAGAATCCTTTACGTTAGTTACATTACAAGATTCTGATTATTAGAAGTGAATTTTTAGGATACCTAACGAGTCAATACGATGCATATTTGAAGACAAAATTCTACGAGATGGTGAAATAACTTTCTGTTAAAAATGGACGCCTGTTGAAAATGCTGCTTAACCGATTGTGGGCTATTTGAAGACCACATGCTTACCTTCAGATGAGGCGTTTGATGATCCTCCAATGGTCTTCACTTTTTCATTTTTTTGAATCGCCTTTTTGAAGTGAACACTTTCGTCCTTTGAACGCAAGTCCGTGTATAACTTTTGGAACTCTTCGAAACTTAATTTTGATGGATCCTTTAATTTCCCCTATGGAGCGGAATCGGGAAATCAATTTAATGCGCGAGTTAATATGCTTCACATTTACAAGGCCTTTCATGTGGAATCATAAATGATACTACCATTCCATAATATCCCACGGTAGCAGCAATTGGAATTATTGCGTTTTTCTAACCTAAACATTCGTAGATCATATACCAAATACTCTTGTTATAATATTTTTTGCTTAATTTTAACATGCTAATAACTCAACAGACATACCGAACACATCCTCAAATGACTTAAATTAACACGAGTAATTTACCCTTTAATTTAACATTTAATTACTTTATAAGAATTAACAAATTTCATGGTGATTTTTGCAGAATGCTTCTCTGGCAGCTGATCTAGTACCCACAAGTATATTCTTACTGATGATTATGATTTTTCTTTCACAAAAGATCTTACATTATAATACAGATGACCAGTTCAATGTTTGGTGGCCGTTGTTCTTGTTCAAATAGGCAAACGTGTTCAGCCACAGTGAAAGTTCTGCAGTGAATACATTTCGATGTAACCACAATCAGACATTGACCAAAAAACTAAGAAGACCCCAGATGTACGAACAGTAGAAAAATCTGTAACGCTATTTGTTGTTTACAGTTGAGAGATTTATGAAGTGGACTAGGTCTTGGATCACTTTTTCACAGGTAACATAAAAACGTTTATGTCAGGATGCGACTTAGCGTTAATGTTTTCATAAATAGTACTATGTTTTTAATTTGTTTGTTGAAATCGGTAACATTTGTAAGACATGTAAATACACTTATGGACGCGTTTGGAGATTGCCACCAAATTTTTTTTTACTACGCAACCCACTTTCCATTGAAAGCAATGCAAGCTTCCATGTAATCACCCAATGAATCCTTCCCATATTTTGTGCATACACAGCCATGCTATGCCACTCTTTTTTCGACTTCCTATACTTTTCTACTTTGATCGACTTTACCCACTTTCATCTCGAATCTAAAGCTTTCCTTTTCTTTACATTAACCCATTTCACCATCTTTTCTTCTGTACCTTCGCCCTATTTCAGCCATCACATTGCTTAATCTATCAAAATCGTTTTATCACTTTATCTAATGGTAGTTGAAGCAGTGAGGGAAGCAGAGCTTAACGCTGAAATAACATAAATTGTCAATGAATATGCCCATCAAATTTAGAAAAGGACAATTGTACCTATATACATATTTAAAAAGAATGTTCTACCTCTTTGGACATGTCCTCGGTGAGATTGCGAATTTGCCATTGAGGCATCTTAACGCCGACGAGATCAAGAGCCTCCTTCAGGTCCGAAAGGTTAACAAAGCCATTGTTTTCTAGCTGTAAACAAAAGAACAGAGGGTGGTCGTGTTAAAAATGCACCTAATATGACAAAATAATTTCAAACAAAATATTTCACCTTAATATATCATTATCTTATTTATAATGTACCCATAAAATTCTGAACTATCGAACCTGTCCTATCGCTATACAGCGCGCAAGTAGCGAGACGTGGTTCAGTACCCACATGGGCATGGCTATGGGCAGCTCGTGACAACGAGCTATCGTAAGGTCGGTGTACATATTAGTCATGAATTTTTTTGGATTATTCCAACCTAAGTACGCTCTGTGGCCGAGTCAGCATGCGGTGATAAAGAGGTCCACTCATTGCCGAATCACTCCCAACATTATGCAATGATTTTGCAATAGCAAAAATGCCCTTCTGTGGTTGAGTACCGCAGCGGGTATCTTTACTTCACAGCCCTTTTTATTTAAAAACTAATTTGAATTAACTAAACTAAATATCAACATCGTGCTAGGAACGACGAAGACAAGCAGCTGTTTCTGACACAGTTTTCTCTGCCTAGTACACGTGAGCAATACACAACTGTTTTTTTTATCGATTATAGTTGTACGGAATAGCTTATATTGGCAACTTCCTATTTATTTTTCCATATTCCATACGGCAATAGTCATCACAGAAAGCAAGATGAGCGTCTCGTTAAGTTAAATAGTCAGTAGCGAAAATCTTCCCTAAATTTTAAATACAGGCTTCCGCATTGAAAAGATAAGCTTTGTGCAACGTCGCGCCTTGGGCCATACCGCTGGTGAACGTTCGTGCCATTTACAATAACAATATGACAATAACAAACCAACATCTAACGTGACATTAACTGAAGATGTCGAACATCATAAATAGCACAATTACCGGTTGAACAGCAAAGCGTAAATGGAAAAAACTGTTGCTAACTCATCGGGTAATTGTTGTTGTCTCCTGTTTTCACTCACCTCCATCATGGAGTCGATCACTGACTATACGCGCGATGCGCGAATCCTTATAAGGAACCTTGCCGTTATTGTCATTAAAACAAGCCCTTCAACGATACAATATAACAAATGACACCGAATATAATTTGTTCTAATTTCTATCTCATCCATGTGACTATTCCTATCAGTCTCCTTCGAGCCCAAGGCGTATTTACCTCAAAATAGTCACACGTTTCATGTTTAAAAACAAAATAAAATTTCAAACACCTTTAAATACATTTACATCCAATAGTAATTAGAGTAAAACCATACTACCAATTGTTACAATGTTTTGCCTGCCTTAGATGACGTTAACTTTCGAAGACTAAATACATATATATATATATATATTAGCACACATCAATATTCAAGACTATGTGTAGATACAATAAGTTGTATTGTCATAGCGCACATATCAGACATAAAAGATGGCAATGAACTCTTGGACGTCAACAACGGAAAGTGGTCTGTACTCAAGCTTGAACCCATTTAGCCAGACTGCCACCGCGAGCCTTAGCTCACCTCTAGAAACGTACTTTTTCCCAAGGAACACTCCTTTGATTAAACAACACTGCATAGGAAGACATTTTCACAACTCACTACTGCAATTGCTATTGGTCAACAAATATGGTGAATAATTAAAGCAACCTATTTGTAGAATACCAAAATTCTAATTTATCACATTGCCCTTATTACACTTTTGTAGACGAAGGAGAAATGAGCTATACCTGTCACAAGCCCGCCAGTCTAACAAGAGCAGTCTTTTCATTCAGCGTTCACCCGCACACATTACGAGAGATTTATTTGTATTTGGCTGATTTGGCTGGGAATAAGGTGAGCACAGCTTTCCTGTTGGCACCCGGAATAGTGACCACGAGCTTAAGTGCGCGGAATATCTTTGTGCAAATTTCGTGTAAATGAAGCGAACCTCAGAGACCACAAGTAAGTCGGTGTATGTCTGTGTCTATTTGCGTCTGTGTTTGTGTGAGTCTGTGTGTATCTGTGTCATGAATGTGTGCCTGTCTTTGGACCGCCCTTCTGCTGGAGAACGTTATTTAAATCTTATGAATGAGTACAACGTCGACTCATCCAACATTATCAGCAGCATACGACGCGGGTCAGAGAACTCCATATGGAAGCAGCAGTAGAGACGAAGATGGGGAAAATGCTTGAACTCAAGGCCTGGTGTCGTCTACAAGTTAACTCGGCTTCTTTCTGCCTCGTCCAATTCGTCTTGTTCTCCATTCGAAAATCGTAGTCCAGTGCAAACAGCAAAGATTCCCGCAAAGCTGGCAGATCGAACTTTTTATTGGCTTACTTCTTGCTGGTGCTGCACACTGCATGCTGCCTCAGGCGATGCGGCTGCCATCCCAAAAAGACCTTCATAGAAAACGCACTCGCTTATTATTTTTATAGAACAATGAGTATTGCGAACATATGTAAGCGAATTTGACTATATCGATTGTCCTTTTACATTGTCTGTTTTTGGCAATACTATTGAATCCTACCAGTTGCTGAGCAGTCGCGATGATTTCAGTTGAATGCTCGTGTTAGCTTTCAGACGTTTCCCTTTCATCACTTTACTTCTAGGTTTCCTGTAACGTTTCCCTGTCAGCGTATCAACGTCTACTTTAGGGCCAGTTCAATCGAGCGGTCAATAATTATTAGTGAGATTCCTATGGCAGAGATTGGACAGCATTATCTACTATCTCTAATGATGTTCGAGATGCAGAAGCCTGCTTTCGCTGCTTTTCCATGAAAAGTTTTGGAGCGTGGAAAAACTTGCGCGTGGCCGATTACACCTAAATAACATAAAGACGGTCGAAGATAACCTGTGCCGGAGCTAGAACCCCAGTGCGGTAACAAACATTCGAACCTCGTAGCAACAGCGGCAGTAAGGAAGCAGGCCCGTTGTTGGAACAGGCTCCTGCCCACGCGCATGGACATCTCGAGTGGCCAGAGCGACGCCTGCAGAACAGCGCGCTTTAGACCTTCTAACCACAGGAGCTCTGGGCTATTTAGACCGGGACGACTGCAGCGGGATACGTTCGTCGCCGACGACGTCAGTGCTGTGAACACGGCAACATCCAACGCTACTGTTAACAGTAGCTGTTGTAGGTAACGGATCCTATAGTCGGTCACGGGCTGTCTGTTGAACCCAACTAAGATTACTGGATTTAAGCCGACTAGTTTGAAGAGCAACAGCATCGATATATCGCCAGTGACAGTTTATTAGCTGACCCCATTGTCCTTGTTACAGCTGCTGTTGTTCAAGAACGGGCCATATCATCATACCGTTTGCAGCTGCAGTAAGTAGAAGAAATTGACCTACCTCAGATACCGTTAGAAGCTATGATGAACGAAAAAATAACTGAAACAGGAGGGCAATTAAATGTCTGCTCTAAATGCACTTCTTACCATTGTAAGCCCTAGCATTATGCAATGCTTCTCAGATATCGAGCATCGACCATCCTGAGAACAGCCCACAACAAACATTGGCAACTCATACAACAAGCAAGCTCTCTAACAAAGGCAATGTATGGTCTACCACAACAACAATTAGCGGGGTCATATAAGAAAGCGTATGACTGTATTTTTTTTTTTTAGTAGTTTTCGTGGTAGCGAAATAGTGTGCATTTCAAGTATCTCCACCAGCGGCTGAAGTAGCAACAATATGACCATTTGAAATATCTCCGTGGAATGGTTCAGTGGGTAACATTTTGCCTGTTATGTCTAGGAACACGAAAAATGGTCGCCGTTGGAAACGGGTGAAACCTCGTTTCTCGCTGAAAGGGGCCACCATGTATCTGATGAAATGCTATAGTAATAGCATTGGGTTTAAAACTCAAACTCGCCTGGAATAATATACCGCCTGGAATATTGTACCGATATATCTGTGGCATACAGTAGCGATATGCTGAACCTCTGTTGGTTCGATAGAACCACAATGCGCAAAAATAGACATCATTAGTTGACAGATATCATTAGTTGTACAATCCGTTGTGTTTCCCAGCTTCATAAACGTTCAGTTCATATTCAACGGGAGCAGAAATTGTGGCGAAACGCAAAATATGAGATGATATGAGATCTTAGCTGATGCAGAAAATATAATTTTGTACAATTGGATCAGAAAGATGTAGAGGAACTCCACATTTAGCCCCATATAAGGTACAGGTGATTGAAGTTACAGTTACATCTAAATGTTTCTTAACTTAACATGAGTTTTTGAGGACTTACTTTTTTTTTTGAATTTTATGAAAGCAGCATCTCATAGCCGAAGCTACTTATTTTGAAATTTGTTTCTGGAAAAAGGTAAAATAAAAACGTTGTTGTTTTAATTAATATTTTTACTAGATGCAAAAGTGTTATGTCGTGAATTAAATTTACTGACGCTGACCGGGAAATTATAAAAGCATGCCATTCGTTTGACGGATCTTTTGGAGATCTACTGTTTAAATCAATAATAATGTTAAAGAAAAGCGAAATTAATAAAACGGATCATGAACGGGGTGGAGCCCGTAGTTATCAGTATGTAGCGGTTACATCTTGCCTCTTAAAATCTACACCTAATAATAAACATTCCGAAACGTATTCTATATATTATACTACTACGACGTGAAGAAACAAATAGACCACCTCGGGTATTTCACAATGACAGTCAGGTTTTTTCGGCAGCATTGAGCAGCACTTCACATCACTCTAGTAACTCTAGCGATAATTTGTCGCGTTTATACAAACACAGACTGAAGGTGCTTACGTAGGAATGACTCATTGACTTGACCTAAATATAAAGAGAAACGTTAGCGGGAAAATGGCCAAGTCAAAAATGAATTCAAAATTCGTAGCACGTAGTTAGAAACAATAATAATTATACAAAACAAGAAGCAAATCGGTAAAGACTAATCCCAATTCTTGTCGAAGAATCGTTTCTCTTCAGCGTATCGAAACTATCACATCAAGAACGTCGCAGCACAGACCGCTGTCCAAGTGTCCATAAGATTAAAACATGCACACCACACAATATGAAACAGCTA